AGTCCGGGGTCATGTAAATTTGGGATTAAGTGACTTGGCAGCGGGAGGGCACCATGATGAAGCTGCGCCCTCGTCTTGAAAACAATGTTCACAACGCTACTTTAATGATTAATCCCTAAAGTCAGTATGAACATGGCAAAGACGATAGGCCCCTACTTGGTTTGGTACCTGTTACATCAATAAATAGGGTTTGTCTCATAGACCAGGGGTTTTCAAAGTGTGAGGCGGCCCCCCAGTGAGGCTCCAAACTGTTTCAGGCAAGGCTCAGTGAATGGAAATGAAACAATATTACATCACTTAAGCATTAGTTATCCAAAGGAGATCACATAGAATAGCCTACATATGTGAGAGTTCAGAGATACAGTAGTTTTGGGGAACAGTTTCCCCCCATCAGATTCAGAAACTAATAAATAGCTTAGGACAGACCTTTTTTAAAACTACTTGTTGCAGTCAGAAGTTATGTCAAACAGCAATAATAGGCTATTTTGGCTGAAATGTTGAGTGTCTATGTGATAAGATAATATGATCATGATTTCATAGACAGGAATTGAGCGAATCAGTTAATTAAATTATAGATGGGGGGGCATTTCCCTAGCTTTGTAAGAAGAGAGGCCCGCAGTCTCAGACTTTGAAAACCCCTGCCATAGACAAAATAGCGGTTTGGTGGTTTGTGTGAACAAGGTGGCCTGGGGTCATAACTCTATATTGATATAGTTTCCAAGAGTTCACTAAACTCACCACATTAGAAACAACAGATTTGATTTTCTTAGTTAAATCAAATGTAGCTAATAAAGATTCTTTAATAATATTGATCAAGTTATTTTTTACAATAAGTCTTCCATTTATATGTGATAAATGTATTCTTACCTTTAAACTGAAGCACTGCTGCAAGAAATAAAGAAATCCATTTGAACTCAACCATCATGATTCTCTGTGTCTCTCTTCTGTCTCTTGTTCTCGTGCTCAGAACGGTCTGAGTTTCGAAAGTAGTACTTTAATAGAAACACTATATTTACGTCCTGTGATTAATATGATCTCATTTCCTCACTTCTCACATCTGCTTTAGATTTCCGTTTTCTTTATTTCCGTCTTGATCATCAATATGAGATGCAGCCATCACTAAAGATGTCAGAGGTTGCAGCAGCCTGAGAAAGATCCTGTGAAACTGGAATGAGACTGTAAAGACTACAATGCCGCTGATTAAAGGCCAAGGAATATGTTTCTGCATTCATTTAGTCAATCTAACACTGTAACAAGCAAACTATATTAAGTCTCATATTGAGTTTCAAGTTCACACTTCGTACAGTCCTACGGTCTATTTGTGACAATGACGTTTTTCACCACCTGCAAAGAAAAAGCTGAAGGTGTGAAGATTGTTTATTCCGATAAATGTTTGTAAAAATGCAACTTGTTTTTTTCCGATAGTGTTTATCAGAAAACAGACAGGATCCATGGTGATATTTGACAGCACACATAAACAGACAGATGAAGAGTCTCCTCTCCCACCAGAATCTGACTCCTGATGTCCATGGTGCAATATGGCGATACTGCAGCAGCTTGTGAAGAACACAGATAAGATGATATTTTACTGGTCTGAGATCTGCTGGTTCCTCATTGTGGGGGTGTGTTTTGGTGAGAATGTGGTGAACAACAGCAGCAGAGCTCTGGTGGTGTTACTCTCTAATGATGACCAGGAAACCGGAATAGAGGGTATGCGCATGACGTCACAGAACGCAGTTACGCTCACTGGCAGAATGGTGGCAGAAAGACGAGCAGCAGTGTTTGCTTGAATCAGGTAAAACAGAAACAACACATCTAAAATGGGAAAGAGCTGGACCACTGGTTCTTTGGTAAGCAGTAAGGATCACTGTCGAGTACGACTGCCCTTAACTTGAGCAAATACTCACTTGTTTTACAGTTTGCTAAACGCAGCCATGGTAACAGATGTTTTGCCACTCAGTCAAGCGTTTTCCAGAAAGGGAAGTGACATCAATGTAGACCCTATAGACACTTCACACTTTATTAGGATATAAGACAAAGATACAGAGAATTCAGATGACAACTACTTAAATTATAATAATAATAATAATCTTTATTTGGAGAGCACTTTTCAAAAACAAGTTATAAAGTGCTTTAACAAGTGTAAAGACAATAATATCCAAAAGACAGTAATACAAAAAAATACATAATAAAAGCAAGAAAACACAAACACAAAGCTAAAATACATGTTTACGATAAATATAAAATAAGTAAAATAGAATCAAATAAAAGGGATAAAATAAAGTCAAATAAGATCGGGAAAGGCTCTCCTATAAAAGTACGTTTTAAGAAGGGACTTAAAAGAGTTCACTGACTCAGCCGACCTGATTTCCTCGGGCAGGCTGTTCCAGAGCCTCGGGGCCCTGACAGCAAACGCTCTGTCCCCTTTAGTTTTCAGTCGAGACTCTGGAACAGACAACAGACCTCTGCCCGAGGATCTCAAGGTACGTGCTGGTGCGTGTGGGACTAAAATGTCAGAATATAACAAGGCTAGAAGAGCTTTAAAATAAAATTTAATAATCAATAAAATTTTAAAGTTAATTCTAAAACATACTTGGAGCCAGTGTAATGATGGTAAAACAGGAGTAATGTGGTCATATTTCTTTGTTCTGGTTAAAAGCATGGAAGTGAGACTAGTTGACGAGTATCTTTTTTTTTTTTCTTTTCTTTTTTTAAACCTGTCCTGCCCAGCAGCATGGTATAGAGTATAATGACCTGGATACCATATTGTGCCACACAGATTTTACTTTAACAAGAAAGTATTAAAATACTCCTTTGTCTGTTTTATTATTTATTTAATTATGTATTGATTTGACACCGGGCCGGACAGGGGGGCAGACACGGGGATGGGGGGGGCACAAACAGACAGCACAGAGAAAGGACAACACCTGTAAGAGAAGGGGGAAAGGGGGATGGAAGGTGGGGACAACAGGGAAAAGCTGTGGGAAACACCAATTGCAGAAAGCAACGAAACCTGCAATAGAACAGAGAGGGGGGCTTGAGGAGGAGAAAAACAACAACAACAAACAAACACAAACAAAAACAAACAATAAAAATACTAATAATAGTAAAAGACAACCAGCCGAACAGCAGCAATAAACAGCTGACATATTAAGACAACTAAGAGAACAATGAAAACAAGAAACAGTCACACACACTAAATAAGCAACACAGCACAGCCACGAGAGCTGGAATAATAATTAATTTAAATAAGTAACTGAAAGAAAGGCATCAGGAATAGTTCTACCAGGGACAACCTAAGTTTGTTTCTGTCTGTGTGTCTGTGTGCGTGAATGTGTCTGTATGTGTGTGTGTGTACGTGTGTGCGCATAAGCCTGTTAAAGAATGTAGTTGTTAGTGAGAGTGGGACGCCACGACTGTAACAGGCAGGCAAGAACCCCAGTAGCCAATAGGGGTGGGAGAAAGAAAAAGAATAAATTACATAAAAAAAAACAAAAAAACAAAACAAAGACTCCCAGATGCACTGCGATGCAAACGCAGTAGACCCCGACCCAAATGCCAGTTGACAACGTAATACCGACGGAACGCAAAAAGCGTAACCCGTGGAAGAGCAGCGCCCGGACCGACCGCGGCGCGCACACAACATAGACCAGTGCTCCCCCCCACCCAGTACCCCACCGCCGCGCAGCAAACTACCAAAATGCCCAAATGCCACGCAATCATCAACACCAATGCACAAGTGACGAGCCCAACGCGCACACTGCGCAAGCACGGCGACACCCAATGCCCAGCAGCCCCCCCAGAATCCCGCGTGCGAGGTCGGGCAAACGAGAGAGAGCAAACGGAACAACACGACAGCGAAAGCCAGCGGAGAGAAACACCAGCAGCAAGTCCCAGCCCGGCAGCAAACGTGCCGCACAGGTCACCGTGCACCCGCCAATAAAAGTCCGCCGTCCCCCCAACCGCAAGAAAAAACTAAGGCCGCCGGCGCCAGCCGACATCCCCCATGCCCAGCGCGCCCCCCGGCCACCATGCAACACCAGCCAAACCAGCAACGAGGCAAAATCAACTAGCTCAGCTGCATGCCACCAGCAACCCACCCACCCGTCAAGGGCCGAGAACTCCAGGCACAAACCCAGAACAAACCGGAGCACAGCCCTGCCCCGCACCCACACTACACATCCCGAAAACTAACTATATACCTCAGTATCCAGAGGGGTCCAACAACTGGCCGACAGAGAAATGGGGAAGCACGGATCTGAGGCCAATGAAGCAAAACAGGGATGCAAACAGGTCCCTCCAAGCCAACGAGGAGATGCCTCCTCCGGACTCCAATGCACAAACTAAATGCCCAGCAGCCATCCAGAGACCCTGCCCAGGGAAAAAGCATAATACATCAAGATGCATCGACAATCGCCCCACAATCCCACCGCAGCCCACTAAACCGCAATTGGATCAACCCGCGCAGAGACCCCCACCCCCACCCCCAGAAGCCAGGACACCCTGCGACCCCCCAAAGCGCAAAGGACCCCAGACCGCATGTCCAGGGGAAAGCTGTACCCCGCCCCAAGGAAGAACAGCAGAAAGCCATGCCGGGAAGCTCCCTGCCGCCAGGGAGCGATAACGCGGGAGAACCAGGCCAACGGTCCCCCCCAGCCCAGCCAGAGGCATCCCTCCCTACAGTGCAGGCAGTGACAGCAGCCCCCGAGGCCGATCTCATCCCCGGACAGGGGCCCATCCCCCCCTAGTCAAGCACCCCCAAGGAGGAGCACCAAAACCTACCCCGACAACACCGGTCATGCGCCCCAGAGATTCCCGAATGCCCCCACCATGAGAGAGCTGGCAGGGGGAAGCAGCGGGAGCCTCACCTCCCGCCCCCTCCCCCCAACCCGGACCCACACACAGGACACACAGAGAGGCAGCCAAGCACCGAGCGCCACCACATCCGCACAGCGCGCGAGTCAAAATCACCAACCGCGCGACACCCAAGCAGAGTGGCTACCCACCCTGCAGCAGCGGCATGCTGAATACAGGGCAAACACCGGTCCCCCCGTCAAGCCCGCGCCCTAGGCATCCCGAGCGCCGCACCACCGCCAACACCATGTCATCAACCAACATAAAAAAAAAAAAACATTAGAAAAAGTCCCCCACGCCCGCACCGCAATGCATCTAAGAATCAACCCACCCCCAGACACACCTACCGGCCGTACGGGACCCTGACCAGCAAGGCAGTACACACCCGCCCCCATTGACGAGTATCTTGACTGAACTGCCTTTAACTGCCAGGATGTAGAACATCAAGCCTCCACAATATGTAGCAGCAGTTCTGTTCATGTTTTTTTTCAGAGAAAAATATACTGTATATAATATCTGAATTGGCTGCAGAAAATACAGATTTTCACAACTGATGCCGTAAAAAACATTTTCATAAAACCTGATATGAGATGAAATCAAGACTTCATTTCATTTATTTATTTAAGGACAGTGCACATTAATCAACATTTCTGTAAATGTGCCAGTGTTAGCCAGCAGGCTAATTTTCAACTGTAGTCCATTGGCAAGATGTTATACTAGGCACATAATAGCTTAAAAGAAACAAAAATAATAAAACACATTAAGTCACACAGCAATTGATATACAACAATAAAACATAATGCCATAGCACTGGCTCCATTAAAACATAACATCATAAAACATATAACATATAACCATACATCCATACAACAGTTAGGGCATTAATAAAGTTACCATCTAACCATCTATTTAGCATACATATACCAAAAGTTACACGACAGCTAAAATATAGAGACAGACATACATTATTATTATGAGAGGTGTTCACATTTTTGTATGCTCAAAAGCCAGACCTTAAGATGGTGTGAGAATGTATGGTATGAGGTGGAATTTCTAATATCCACAGGCAATTGGTTCCATAGTTTAGAGGCTCTCACAGAAAAGCATAATTGGCCAAAGGAACTGGACCTACGAGGGACTACACAGTCCCCTCTTAAGGCAGACCTTGTGGTTCTGCTGCTAGATGACTTCTGCTGTATAAAAGTACAGAGTGGTGGGGGAGCCTTCCCATTAATGATTTTAAAGATTAGGCATGCATCACTGTGTTTTAAAATATTTTCCCAATTGAGTAGGTTATAAGTATTAAGAATGTTACAGTGGTGGTAAAGTTGGGTTTTTTTGTCCAATACTTTAAGTGCTTGTTTGTAAAGTGATAAAATAGGCCTTAGTGTTGTACTGCATACCTGGGTCCAGCTTGTCATACAATATGTTAGGTGAGGAATTATCATAGTTGTCATGTATAGCTTTGCTACAGGTGTTGTCAAACAGTTCCTTATATACTTAAAGTTCGCTAGGTTATTGGTAATATTGCTGTCCAGTCAGATTGAGAAATAAATGCAAAACCCATAAATTATACTAGATTTAATTTTTTTTGTCTTGATGTGCTGTTATTTAAAGAGTAAAGTATTTTCTCTGATGAGCTGATGATATGGAAGTTGTTGATCAGTGGGGTCTGGCAGAGGCAGAAGGGTCCCCAGAGTTTTCATTGTTCTCCATGCCATCATCTTCATCTTCATCATTATTCACCTATGAAATACAGACAAACACTATGATACACTGACAACTTTCACATCACTGACCCTCATTTAAAGGTTCAGTGTGTAACAGTGACATCTAATGGCGAGTGTTGTGAATTGCAACCATCTGTCCAGTGTAGGATACGGTGGCTGACAACAGCACAAAAGGTGTCTCTTCTGAGACAGCAGAGTGGCCAGTCAAGAAATTAGGTTTCTTTAGGTATATCTATTGAGAAATTATATTTACGTAATTATTTAGTTAAACAATATGTGACTTGGCCACTGACAGATAATATGGAAAATGTAAGCCAAGAGTGTGAAACACTGTCACTGTTTCTGCACCACAGTCCATTATAAACTACACATTAGATAGAGTTTATACAAACAATGACAAGGGAAACACGTTAATTCTGTGATTATGGACCATCGCCAAAACTGCCCACCAACAATAATATCTGGCCCGCTGCCAGATTATGGTGCTTTGATATCAGCAAAAAATATAAATAAATAAATGCTTTGATAGCAGTACTGAAATAGATCTCCGTCATGGCAGCAACAGTTACTCACATAATCACTTCCTCTTTAGTGGTTTTGCCTACAAAATAAAAGCCTGAGACGCTTGTTTTATGTAGTATTTGGAGTTGAACTGAGCTTTTAAAGACTTTACCAGACTTTGAAAGAACCATCAGAAAACGTGATTCCCTTAAATGATACCCGATTCCCTGCACGTGAACAGGTCGGCTCCTGCCCTGCTGAAGCGGTGCCATATCTCCTCCTCCACCTGAGGGTGGAGTCTCCACTCCCCTGGGTGGAGTCCCCCTCTTGACATAATGTCCGCTGCTGAGTTCAGCGGCCCTGATACGTGCATCGCTCTGAGAGAAGCGGTGGTGTGCCCACAGCCACAACTCAGTCGCCAGCTTACAGAGGGAGCCCAGCCCCCCTTGCCTGTTTATATAGGCTGCCGCCACTGTGCTCTCTGTTTGTCCTGACGATGAAATGATGGCCTCTTAGTCTGGGCAGAAACTGGCAAAGTGCTAGTTGCACAGCTCTTAGCTCCAGGACGTTGATATGCTGAGTCACCCAGGGGCTGTTCCGATGGCCGCTGACCCCACATCTATCGTGGACGGCGCCCCAGCCTGCCCGGGACGCGTCTGTGAAGACCAGTCGGCGATACACTACCAGTGACAGTGCACCTCCTCTCTGTATATTGGTCGGGTCCCGCCACCAGCGAGGACCCGACCAAATCTCTTCTTGACCCGACCAAATCTCTTCTTGGCCCAGGCCCCCAGTGTGCTCCAGAAGCAGAGCTACATGACAGCGGCATAGGTCCTCTGAATCCGCACAAATCAACCAATCGTCGAGGTAATTGAGGATCCTGAGACCCCGCTGCCTCATGGGTGCAATGACCGCATCCATGCAGCGGGTGAAGGTCCGGGGTGCCGCTTCCTTGAGGTCGATGGTGGCAAACCAATCCCCTGCTGTGATGGATTGCCTTACCCTGGGGACCGTCAACATCTTGCATCTCAGGGGGTGGAGGTATTTGTTGAGCCCCCTGAGAAAAAACCAGCCTGCGGATCCCCAGACTCCACCTCCCGTATGGCTGCTTTTGCCAAGAGGGTGGATATCTCTGTCTGCAGTACCTCTACGTGACCAGGGTCGTTCATCGAGGTAAAGGTGGGGGACATTTGTCACGTGCAGTCTGTGGTAAAACTGTATCACGGTATCACCCACAGCTCCGCAGCCAAAGCCAACCACAATGCCGTGTACGGCGCTGTTGGAGCGTACTGGCTGGCTGGGTACCAGGGACTGTCAGGAAGGAGGGGGCTACCTCAAGGGGCCCCCCCGTCCGCTTCCCCATGGCAGCTGGTCCCCCCCCACACCCCTGACAGCGGTTGCTACGCCTCCGCATAGCCTCTAGCCGGAACGTACGTCGGAATCGGCGTCGGTTGAGGTACAGAGTTCTTATTGCTCCCCTGTAGAACTGGGGCTGACAGAACCCTCCGACACCTGATGAGACAGGTGGCGCAGGTAGAGAGACATAATAGCCACAGAATTAGCCAAGCAGGTCTGCGTAGTCATAGCTCTATGCAGCTTAGCCAGGCCATCCATAACCCTGCAGTTCTTGCTAGGGCAGGTAGCCTTGCCACGCACTGAGCTGGACGGAGAGACCATAGGAGAGAGGGCTTGATCCATTGGGAGGAGGGGCCCGCAGGCAACCTGCTCCCTGCCTTGCACATTCGAGAACCTCCTACAGAATCTAGACCACTTGTGTGTGGCTGATGGTGAGTCAAACTGTTTACACACCAGGTCCTTAAAGTCAGGCAGAAGAGCACCGGTGTAGTCTACGTGATACGCAGGTATATGGCGTATACCCACTAGGAATGGTCAAAGATTTTTGTATACCCACTTAAAATAGCGAGATGATACGTAACAACATCGTTTTGACAGAACACACGTTCATTCACCCCGTTTGTGTTGCGAAGCTCTGAAATGACGTTCCGTGGCCTGTGACCGGGATCTGAAGTCAGCTACCATAAACAACACAGTTGTGTGGCAGTCACTCGGCGCACGTTTGAACTATCAAGGACCAGGTCTTTGGGGTATTGGCGTATTACAGAAACTTCCTAAACTGAAGATCCTATCTTAACTGTTTAGTGGTGGTACGAACGTTAAAGTTACTGAAACACAGAAAATGAGCCAGATGAGGCTGATGCTGTTGTAACGTTACCTGGTGAGTGAAAATAGCATATAGGCCTATGTTGTCATTAACGCTATCGTTAAGGGAACTGTAACAGCATTGTTGGTCTATTGAATTGAATCTAGACCTAGTCAACTAACGTTAATGTGGTGGATCAATGAATGCGGGATACTGTGTGTGTGTGTGTGTGTGTGTGTGTGTGTTTGTGTGTACAGTAGTAGCAGTATCTGGATGCTTGCTCATGCATTTAAGCTGATCTATGTTTTTTTTTTAAGTGAGCTTGAGATTGTTATGTTGTTGTCATTACTGCTACTGAAAAGCCCCTGCTTTCCATTATTGTAAATAATAGTTGCAACTTGCACTATGAAATGTGCATTGAAAATTGCCAGATGATAAAACCAGATTCATATAACATCTAAGGCTAAATGTAGCTCTTAACTGGCTGAGTTAGATGGTGATTAACACTAAACATTAGACATTTCCACCATAAATTGGTGCAGAAAATGTCTCCAGAATGCAGGAAATTAAATGTTTAATGCTCAAAATCTATGAGGCTGGGAGGGACAAATCACAGTATACTCACTAGAAAAACCTAGACTACACCACTGCAGAAGAGGGACCTGTACCGGTGTGGAGCGCACCTCCGTATTCTCATCAAACCGAGAGGGGGGCGCCGTCAGAGTTTCAGGGGGGCAATACCCAGGGCTGCGACCGCCCTGCTGAGAAGCTGGTCAAAGCTCTGAACCGTTGAGTCACCGCCTACGTGCACTGCCACGTTCTGCCCGCAGGACATCACACCGTAACAGTTTCCACATCCACATCCACATCCTCCTCCTCCTCCAACATGGAGGTGGACAGAAAGAGAGGGTGAAAATGTGAATGTGGAGACAAGGAAACAGTGAAGCATGTATTAGTTCATTGTACAAAGTACTTTGGTCAAAGGAGGAAATTGTTTAGAGACCTGGGAGCAATTGGAGAAACTATATTTAGCATATGCACTCTACTTAATTTGGATTGTTGGAACAAAATGAAGAAACTGATCGAGTACTTACATAATGCTGGTTTATACAAAAGGATATAGGCTATTAGCATTGAGATGTGAATAACGAATGGCATGGGCCCCACCGGGCGCGTCAGCCCAGGAGGCCGCGAGCAATACGTCAGAAAGGGGGGACACACAGCTCCACAACCGGGAGGCTGGTTTCCTGGCGGACCCGCAGCCGCTGTCACCGGACTCCCGGTGTATCTTTAAGAGGTTTCCACGTACCTGACCTCAGGGGATCATCCCCGTACATAAGGGATATGTAACGGTGGAGAGATAGTCTCGATACGATAGAGAACTAACTTCAGACAATAAGAGAAACCCATGTGAACAGACAAACACCGACCACCTATAACACAGGGATCATAACAGACAGAACCCAAACGAGAACACAGAACTATAACACAGAATACAGAGCAGACTAAACTAAAATAATGCAGACAAAGAACTAGAAGTAAATACTAAGACATGAACTAAGGCACAGGGCTATGAACAACGACATGGAACCATAACCCAGACGCCCCAACAAGACACACAGACAGGTGGCCTGTACTACGAAGCGGGGTAACTGGCTTATCCAGGTAACTTCAGGGGTAACTTTGTGATGTCGGCTGTAACTTCCCGGTTAACCCGTACTACGAAAGGTGGATAGGTGTTACCCGAGGTCTGTTGCCATGGCAATTTACACTACATCTCTAAACTGCTCCGAGCAGGTTTTGTTCATGGTTAACTCGAGGTTACCCTGCACCTGGAATACACACCACATCTGTACTCAGTGTAACTGATGAGAAGTAGGATATTAATACACACCACTTCATAAAATGTTTAGATTTCATGCTGATTTGTTCCACTGTGGTTGCAATGAAGTTCTGAACACAACATCATTACGTTCAGACAGCCAGCCCTGCAGCCTCAGTGATTTTAGATTTTAATTAACAGGATAGTTTCATAGATGTAGCCCATCTGTAGTCTATAATTGAAGTGCTTTCACATATTTAGATTATTAATAGATAGACTATTTTTTACGTGTCCAAAAAATAAGGAGCCAGGGTTGGGGTTAATAATCGAGAAAAAAATCCTAGATGAAAGTGTGAAATTTACAAGAAGAAAAATCGGAAATTTCCTGAAATTAATGTCATAAAAAAATCGAAAATCACTCTGTTTTCTTCTGAATATGCCCAATCTAAGGCAAAGTCTCTAAGGTGCATGATAGTGATTGTTAGCTAAACTCAGGAGTATTTCCTCACTGCTAAATCCGATTGCAAAGTCTAAGATAACTTCCCACTGCATGCTTAATACAGGGCAGACGTGTGTGATGTTGCAGCCTTGCAAAGTGAAGTTCTCTCATGAATGTGTGACTATAATATCAGAGAATCTTCAAGTTTTTTACTTGTAGATTAATCTTGGAAATTAAATTTTCTCTCGGATTATTAGGACTACCTCGCTGGCTCCTTTTTTTTCTATTACAATGGACCTTATGTGCAGTTGTACCTTTACATTGTAATCATATTACACATAAAAGAAGAAGCCCATAAAATACATAATAGAGATTTGAACTACAATAAGAACACTGTGAAGATACTTAGGCTACAAATTTACTCAATGCAATGCCAACAAGCCTCCCTGGCTTTGTCGTCCGCCAAGATATTTAGCGGTCAACGTGTCTTCATTATTTCCTGACACTACCAACGTGCATTCCTCTGGAGAAATAGGGAGCATGCGCCGTTGTGAAAAAAATCTGCCTGCACGGCCGAACACACCCCTTTTATGCGAACGTGCACCAACTACAATTAAGTTAACACGTGGTTAACACAGACTCAACCAACCAACATCTTATCCACCGTCGTAGTAGCGTTTAACTCCAGTGTAGGCGGTCAGAGTTTGTCAACCCTGAGTTTGCCTGATAACCCCGAGTTAACTCTGAGTAGGTTGAACTCCCTTCGTAGTACAGACCAAGGATTGTGACACTCATGTTGATAAATAAAAACAAAAAAAATCTATAAATAATTAAACCCTCAAGTTATGTTATAAGATTTTGTTGTCCAAAGGCTTCAACAACTCTTGTAAATGTACTGAACTCTTCTAGACAGAGACTTCAGAAATCTCCTGGAGCCACTCTCCCAGTTTGGGGGTCACAGCCCCCACTCCCAGTGCTCTGATTACTACTGACACCACTGTTGCTTTTACTCTCCACATCTTTTCTACCTCCTCTTTGTGCTCTATTTTTCAAGCTTCTCGTGTGTGCTCCACAGCAGATAAAAGCCTCACCTCCTGGATTGTCACTGTCTCTCATTTTCCCCGCCAGCAGCTGCACCTTTTGGTTTTGTTAAAAGTTTACTTTATCTGGACACTACAACACTTTACACCATGTTCACACCTACACTACTGATGTTGCTGACACATCCCATAGTTGAAGTATTATTTTTGTTCATTTTATGCCATAAACACAGTGAACTTAAGGCATTGTGTGGGCTGAATGTGAAAATACCAGGTGTAGTGAACAACGGTGTGGATTTGTGCATTTTACATTGAATAAATTTGGAGCTACCCTAAATTCCTTTCTCCTCCCCAGAGAAGAAGGGGAGGGGTCAAAGTTGCTTTCTCTAAGTGCTATCCCGACCATAAAACTGGCACCTTTTTGATTCCGAAGCTGATAACGCAGGGCCTGACTGTTAAACTGACAAAGGGACACGAACCAGCCATTGGCATTTCCCTGAACAGCCTATCAAAACAAACATTTCCGTGGCAACTGAACTTATTCTTTGTTTATTACCACATCAAAAAGGAAAACCCCTGTCTCACCCAAGTGTGACACGGTCCAGACACTGAACTTTCAATGTAAAAAGACTGGAGTCTCTAAAGACTCAATGCATTTAATTAAGTTTAATTAAATCTTTAGTTACCTGACTACGTTTGCCTCTATTTGAGTAGTTATGTTAACTGTTGTTGCTATCTGTTGTTGATATTAGTGCTGAAAAGAAGTTACTTGTGCAGTGTTTTTATTTTCAGCAAGACACTCCTTCATCTAATGTAATCAATGCTTGTTCATAATACTTTCCTACAGAATTATAACTAATCCAAGCTTTCCTCATGAAACCTGAGCTCCCCCAAGTGGACGAAATAAGTATTACATGCCCTCGTCGTAAATGCCGTTAAATGTATAAATATCCTAACCAATAATGTGACAATTGTTTCCTGTTACCAAATGCCTAGAACAGTATAACCGTTCGACCATTGAGGTTCGATTGTGGAAATTATTTGATTATAATACGTGCAAATAGATTTTTTTTTCTTTAAACATTAAGTTTAGAAATGCAGTCCCTCCGGAAACCTGAGACGCCCCCCTGGGGAACCACGCCCCAGGCAACAAAAGAGCGACACGCGACCTCGCTGCTCTCTTCTCTTTGCTGTTCGCTCTCTTCTCTTCGCTGTTCGCTCTCTTCCACTCTGCTCTGCCCTCTGGACGCTTCGGCACGCGCGTGGCGTGCCTCGCTGGGAAACGCCCAGACTCGGCCAGCGAGACCGGCCTTTTGTTCGCCTGAAGCTACACACCTGAAGTGCTGCGACATCGATCTGCCCTTCAGTTTGTTTTAATTTCTTTATTTCTTTTGTTTGTTAAAGTAATCAGTCCGTTAAGTTACACTGGACTAATTCAGGAACGACCAAGTTCCATTTTAAGCCTTTTTCGTCGAGCCAACTTCACCGAGGTCAGACCAAGCCACGTGGTCTCGCCAGCTACAACGAAGGAAACCTGAAAACAGCCGAATTGCCAGACGGAGGAGGCGTTTTCAATCAGACACGGAGAACCCCGGATAATCCCTACCAAAAGCCAGGATCGGGCAGCTAGAGTGGGACCCGTGCAACAGGCCAAAAGCAGGCCGTCGACAAGCAGTAAGACTTAACACACGTTCTGTGATCAGATGTCCATTTTAAAGCTTAAAACCATAGCATTAGTTTACTTTCATTAGCTCTTCTATGCCGTATGAGTCAAATGCTTCCCACAACCGAACCTCCAGGCTCATTGTTCAGCAAATGTTTATGTTCCCTGTATCCAACCATCTTTTTATCACCTTAGTTAGAGAATAAATTCACTGTAATATAATCAAGAACTGTGTGTGTTGCCTATTTCTAGTTCCTGCCAAGAGAATTGACCCTTTAGATATGAGACTGATTTAAGATAATTGAGCGATTATTAACTAACTGATCACTAGTAATAATTGTATAATTATTCAAAACTACCTAGAGGTCCGGAGACTCTAGAATTATAACAACTCCGGTGGTGCACTTAACGAGGAAAATGTTGATTTTATGAATCTTCAATTATGAATTCATAATTGGGTATCAATTCTCATAAATTTATTAAAATGCATAACTAAAAATGTTTAGGTCTGCTACACAGGCATTGTTTATCATTATTATTATGTTATTACCAGTCTCTCTATACTGTTTTAACCTGACCTTTCTTTTCGATGGAAGAATTTAGAAAGTTGTGTGGCACTGCTGAGAGCCTCCAGCTGCAGTAGTGCATGGATCACGTGTAAAATTCATGCAGTGTACCATCGTAATACAAACAGGGCATACAGGGCCAGGGACAGGAGATCATGGAGCACCCGGGTGCGCTCAGTGGTCATTCCATCTGGCTGGATGATTATACAGAAATATAGAAATTAATAGCAAAAAAGCATACTGTCAATATTTTAGAGACCCCACAAAATTTCACAGATCATGTTTTAGGGGAGCTCCCTCTGGCTTCCCCATAGTTCGCACCCTGCCTGTCGGGGCAGTGCAGTATCCATTTATACATGGCTGGGCAAGTTAACACATAATTATCGCGTTGACGCATTAATTAATTAATGCCGACGCTGCATGTCACCTACAAAAAGTTTAAGACAATCCAACTTTGGCAGCGGGCGGGCGGGTGTGTGGGTGAGGCGAGTACAAATGTGACAGTTTCAATGGAACTTTCCCGCTTGTCGCTACAGTCTATGGTCACTACTCCTTGTGCTCGACCACTTCACCTCACTCTAACAGCTACTGAACATACACTGTTTATGCTGCCCTCTGATAAAAGATATAAAAATGTTTCTGCTGATACCTGTTCAGAAAAAAAACAGATTTATATATGTTAACCTGTTGCTCAGAAGGTGCCTGTTATGATCGTGGGTCTGGACTCTGATGGTGACTTGTTTTAACAAGCTAGATAAAAGGTAATACCCTTCAAAACATTCCTCCCTTGACTATTTTGAAAATGAACACAATTCACAGTTGAGTCAGCAGTCCCTGAATGCACCACCAGTTCCTTTCTAATCTGATCTTTATCTGACTTGCTGCTGGACAATTTGCACTGGAACTAGATTTTAATCTAGATCATCCAGAGTAACATGGACATGGTTTTTATTTTTATAAAATGGTCTTACTTATAGCCACTAAAGGTTATAGAGACTGAGTCCTGTTTGTTTTGCCTTCTATCTTTATATCTATCTATAGAGGTAAGAATGAAAACAGATGTCACAAACACTGGTTTGCTGTGTAAAGTACCAACTGTAAAAACATTATCAACTCACTGTGTTTTCATCCATCTGTGTTTTTGTCCCTAAAAAGAAAAGAGAAAGAGTCAACTTTTGTTTCCACAGTGAAAATCCGGGTTTATCAAAACTTCCTGTTCCTGAGTTTTGTCTGTGAATGCTCTCACCTTTAGTTCTTGTCCAGATGTTGACTGCAACAACAATTACTATGAGTGCGGCTAATCCCACAGACACCAAATGTCGGATTTGTTCAAAGGAGGTGACTAAAAGAGAAGAGAAATACAACTGTTTTTAAAAATGCTGTACTTGTTCAAGTACAAATAGAAAAATAAATTAAGTATCAGTAAACATGCATGTCTTTTGAAAATACAATTTGCAAGTAATTCGAAGAGATACTGGATCAAGATATTGGGTACCCATACAACATCATGCTAGTTAGAATGTGAAGGACTAACTAATTATTTATATTATTTTCCTCATGAAACTTATTTCTCCTGGCTGTTGTGTTTCATTTTGATTTTGTTGCAGATTAAATTAAATTAGAAAACACAAACCAATGGTAAGACAATAATTGTTTTCCATCTTCAGTAACTAAATGACATATTTACGATTAATGTAGGATTAAGATTTTTTAGTTAAAATGCATTTCAAGAATAAAGTTGAAATGTCGAGAATTAAATCAACATAACAAAAATAAAAGCTATAGTACAATTTGTTTCTCCTTAAATGTGGCCCTAATACTCCATCATACATATTCTATATAATATGCTCAACTTGTTTCTCACATGAGGACCAAGGGGTGAATTTTCATCTAGCGCCACCATCAGGTCGAACTTTTTATTTTTTTTTTGTTTACAAACAAATACCTTTAAAACTAAGCACATTCCCATCAGCCTCAGCTGTACTTTGTATTTGTTGTTAATTAGCAAATGTTAACTTGCTAACACATTAAACTTTGAAAAGAATTTCTACATCCTCATTTGTTAACACAGCAGTTTAAATGTTTTGTAGTGTAGGTGGGGATCAGGGAACGGGAAAATAAATATAAATGGTTATTAAATATATAAGAGTTTACCCACATCACTAAAACTAAACTGAACTGTTTATAAATGATGTCATCTCAAAACCTAAAATCCATATCACGTGGAGTTTGAAGTGATTTTAAATAGGTCATCAGATTCTCACCTGTTTCCTCATCTGACAGCTGAGGGATGAATGGAAACAGCTGCACTTTTCCAATGTAAATATCCGTTACTTTACATTTTAACAACTCACGATAGTTTGCCTTTAGATAAGAGGGAAGAAATGTCACAGTAACTGAGCAGTCAGACTGCAGTGTCTTCTTGTCTTTGTTATCTTCTTCTACATCTTTACCCTCATACAGCCACTTAACTGTGTGTTCACACCCTGCATATGTCGACACAGAGCAGGTTAACGTCACCTTATCACCATCCTCATATTCAGTCACTGGTGAAGATGGAGGTATTGTGAGAGAAAAACAAAAGTAAAGTTAACTTCACTGTGATATATCATAAACATGATAATTATTAACTAACAAGACGGAAAATTATGATGTAAACACTCACTGTTAACAACAGACAGATGTACATGCGCATCTTGCAGACTTGATTTTAACTGTCTGCAGGTGTAGTAACCAGCATCCTCAGCTGTGATGTTCTTCACAACCAGGGAACACTTTGCTGTAACATTCAGTCTCTCCGATTTAGCTATGGCCTTTTCACTAATCTGCCCACGTTCAATCAGCCACACAGGCGCTGTATTTTCTGTAGCACTGAAGATCCAGCTAGTACTGTCACATTTGTCTTGACCACCGATCACATTTCCACAAGGCAAAGTGACTTCATCTCCATCTCTGACAATGAAGATGGAAAGGTTTCCAGCCACTGCTGTTGAAAAGATGAGACAAAATAAGATTAAATATTAATGACTTCTATGCTGATATTTAGTGGATAAATTTAGATCCAATACATGTTTTGTTTTGAGATGTTATTGTTAGTTAACATGTTATCTTTACTCATAAGCTGAAGCAGAAATAAACACACTTAAATCCATCTGAATTCAACCATTGTGCTTGAGTCGTTCTTCTGTCCCTTCTCAGCTATTAACTGTCACAGTCCGTGAACTGCTGTGTGTTACAGTTTTTTCCAACTGCTGACACACGTTTTCAAAACTCTACACACCATTCCCACAACTGCTCACACCAAATGCAAAATATCTCATATGTCCGTAAAAATGAAACACTGCATTCAAAATGTCACAAACACATTCCAAAATGAAGCATTGGCATCAGATGGCAAACACTTTTTTCATAATAGTAAGTTCTTTGATATACCATTTCCACACTGTTGTTCTAAATCTAAAGTCCTTTTGTTTTTCACAGGCTTATGTGTACATTTCCATACAATGCTGTAGACTGAAAGTAATCTGCTGAGAGGTGAAAAATACACTATACAAAAATGCAATGTTGAAACAGAAAATATTTATTTGGCAAAATATTACAGTTGTGTACAGTAGCATACAAGAAAAGCAAACCATAAACATATGTAAACCAAAAGTATAAGTTTTACTTTTATTGCAAAAAATGAATAATGTAAAGACAAACAACCTCGCCTGTGACCTTCTTTATAAGCAGAGAACAGTTCTCTGTAACACCAAGTTCAACCAGCTCTACTACTGCTGTGTTTCCTGAACCACTGAAGACCCATGTAGTATAGTTATATTTCTGCTGACCGTTTATCACATTTTCACAAGACAAAGTGACTTCATCTCCAACTCTGACAATAAAGGAGAGGGGAAGTTTTTCAGCTGCTGCTATATGAAAATATAAACTGAATTGAGAAAATGTCTGTTATGTTCATAGTTAGTGACGATTATTTCTTTATCCTTAGTTTCTAAGAGTTCACTAAACTCACCACATTAGAAACAACAGATTTGGTTTTCTTAGTTAAATTAAATGTAGCTAATAAAGAATCTTTAATAATATCGATCAAGTTATTTTTTACAATGTGCCTTCCATTTATATATGTGATATATGTATTCTTACCTGTAAACTGAAGCACCGCTGTAAGAAATAAAGAAATCCATTTGAACTCAACCATCATGATTCTCTGAGTCTCTCCTTCTTCTGTCTCTTGTTCTCGTGCTCAGAACTGTCTGAGTTTCTAAACTAGTGCTTTAGTAGAGAGACGCAGCAGCTACTTCCTGTTGTTAGGATGATGTCACTTTCTCATAGTGACTTTTAGTCTGTTTCCATTTTCTTTCTCCATAGTGACTGACAGGGACCCCAAATTCTTCATTCAGAAATATGAATTGCAGTCATCAGTAAAGAGGTCAGAGGTTGCAGCAGCCTGACAAAGATAATGTGAAACTGGAATGAGCGTGTAAAGAAGGCAAAGACACTAATTAAAAGGCAAAGCAATACATTATGTTTCTGCATTCACTTAGCCAATTTAATGCTGTAACTAACAAAGTATATTAAGACTCATAATGAGTCCCACGTTCACACTTTGTACAGTCCCACTGTGTATTTGGGACAGTGATGTGTTACACCCCCTAAAAAGAAGAAGCGGAAGCTCAAGGTCCGAAGATTCTTAGTTAAGATAAATGTTTGCAATAACGCAACTTGTTTTCTTCAGACAGTGTTTATTAGAAAACAGACAGGATGTTTGACAGCACACATGAACAGACAGGTGAAGAGTCAAACTCCTCTCCCACCAGAATCTGACTCCTGATGTCCATGGTGCAATATGGTGATACTGTAGCAGCTGCTGAAGAACACAGATAAGATGATATTTTACTGGTCTGAGTTCGGCTGGTTCCTCATTTTATCTTTGCACTTAAATTTGTCTGAGAACTGAAGGGGAAGTGTTTTAGTCAGAATGTGGTTAACAAAAGCAGCAGAGCTCTGGAGCCCTTACCCTCTAACAAGGGCTTCACTTTGTATTGAAAAGTGGTGGGGACATAAGGGCTCAGATTAGGGGTGTGATGATACACATGAGTCACAAGACATGACGATGTACGAGAACAAGGGATTCATACATGAAGAGAACACCTCTCCAAAGTGCCAGATGTCATCGAACGTGAACATTTGCCCTCTGAAGTTGGTAACGAGATGAACTGCAGCCAGGTCGAGACCCGACGAAAATGCAGATGAGCTTCCCTAAGACGGCTGCAGCAGCTGTCTGGGTGGCTGATCTCAGACGATCTTGGAGGTGAAGATGCTGGATGTGGAGGTCCTGGGATGGTGTGGTTACATGTGGTCTGCGGTTGTGAGGCCGGTATGTGCTGCCAAATTCTGAAACGCCTTAGGAGACGACTTATGTTATAGAAATGAACATTCAATTCACGGGCAACAGCTCTGGTGGACATTCCTGCAGTCAGCATGCCAATTGCGTGCTCCCTCAAAACTTGCAGCCTCTGTGGCGTTGTGCTATGTGATGGAACTGCACATTTTCGAATGGCCTTTTATTGTGGCCAGCCTAAGACACACCTGTGCAATACCCATGCTGTCTGATCAGCATCTTGATATGGCACACCTGTGAGGTGGTTGTATTATCTCGGCAAAGGAGAAGTGCTCAGTAACATAGATTTTGTTATATTTGAGAGAAATAGGCCTTTTGTGTACATAGAGAAAGTCTTTGACTTAGACTTGATGAATGGGGGCAAAACCAAAAGTGTGCGTTTATAATTTTGATCAGTGTACATGTCTGAGATCTGTTGGTTCCTACTTATCTAATATTTTTCTGAGAAGTGAATGGGAAGTGTTTTGCTGATAAGGTGGTTGCAACATAAGCTGAGCTCTGGAGGTTTTATGCTCTAATGATGATGAATCGAGTCGAATCATGTAGGCCTGTGTGTTTGTGACATGGTCTGTGCACTGCATTTGCAGGGTGGGGATTGGGGGGGGGCAACTCAGTGATCTAGCCTCCACTACCACTTATCTAGCCCCAGTATTGCACCTCATCACTAGTTACATAACAAATTTATCCACACCGTCTTTGAAAACGCGCCCAAGCAAAGTACAGATACTTAACTTGTGAATCAAGCATCATATTAACATTATCTGCTTAATAAGCTAGACTACAGTGTCTGCCCCAACTGGCTTAATAGGCAGTTCCTTTTGAATGCCATGGCTCGCTCAGCTGTCCAGTCACCATCACTGTTCTAGTTCTAATATTTTTACCAATAGCCACTAATCAGCAACTCCAATGGGAAACACTTCCATGCATGAATCATGTCTGTTGACCTGTCTTACTAAAGAAGAAAGAACATGGTTTCAATATAATTTGAAAGCTGGCAACAGCATTTTAGCTTGTATTTTAAGGTAAAAAAAGTACTGTGTTATGACCCTTGATGAACCTTAAAACCACATTACCGGAGTCAGATTCTTCTCAGGAGCGCGCCGACCAACTATTTTCTAGCTGAAATGACACTTAAACTGGGGCTACCTGCTTGTGTTATCTTGGTATACTATGTGTGGCAAAGGAGAGGCGCACTGAACTTGTGGCATATGATAAGGGATCTACGTAGTACATCACTTATGTACTTGTGTGTAAAGAGAAAACCAGAACACCTATAACAAGGTTCTGACTATTACCTTACCCTAAACCTAAACACAAATTCAAACATTGAACTTATGGAAATTTAACATTTAACATTGGCACACAAGCTGACATAAATTCTTTACTGAACCAACTTAACAAATAACACCAGAAAAGCCTTTTGTATTTTCCACCTTTAATAAAAAGGTTATCCTACTACCCTCTCACTGTCACGACTCAGTAAATCTACAGACTTATCTGCAGTATCTTGAGGATGTGACATCAACTGTGTCAAAGATGAACTACAGGATGTTCTGTGTGAGAAATGGAAAAACATGTCACTGAAAGTGAATGTATTACTGGTCCTGAGCAGAGAATCTGTCAGGATGTTGCAACTTGGAGGTAAGGTGGAAAGGCACAGGAAGCGGGGAGCCCGAAAGAACGTGGTGGTGGAATCATTAACAAATGTTGGTCGTTAGGTTGTTACAGAAGTTATTCATTTTGGTAAGTTGATGTCCAACATCCTGTCTCAGGTCCTCTGTCCTCCAGAGTGTACCTGTACCTGGCTCATAGTGCAGGTATTTTGTCCTTCTACGGTATCTCCGAAACCATGACTCTCCAGAGGACGGGGTAACATTCTGAGAAAAACAAATTATAAAGTTGTAAAAAGATGATACAAGAGTAATGTATTGAGGGGTCCGGAGGGAGGACTAAGGGATGCAGGGATGGGGAAGAGGGTTGAGCGATGAAGGGGTGAGGGTTGAGGTGTGATGGATGAGGGGAGGATTCGGACCCATGAGAAGATGAAACCGGAGTCTGCTGTCTGAGAGATGGATCGGAGCCAGTTGGAGTTGAGACTCTGAGTGGGGGAGCCGTCTATTCTCATTCTCATTCTTCAGAAAAGGGAAGGGAAAAAGCGGTTTGGGTGGGAGGTATGTGAAAACTGAGTCAAGGGGAAGTGAATAGAAAAGGTGTGCTTAAGTAGCCTACTCATATAGGATGAGTCCAAAACGTTGTCTTACTTCCCAAAGCTATTTATAAAACTTAATTTAGACTACTTACAACCTGATAATATTTAGTTAGTAAACTGGAAACTCTCATCTACTATCTTTTCCATGTGACCTGAATGCATTGTCAGTGATACAAGGTGTGACACCTCTTAAGAAACTGCTAGTGTGATGTTTTTAAATCTATCTTTACTGATGTTGCTTGAAGCTGGCAAAGGCTCAGTGATATTTTTACATCTTCCTGCAGAGAAGATCACAGCAGGTTAACAACTGACACAAGAGGGCGCCTTCATCCTGCTAACCAGGGATGTAGTGGAGGTTACAGCACCTCAACTCACTTAGTTCACATGTTTTTAGGCTAATGCATCATGGTTAGCGCTGTGAAACTGTTTTGAAACTGGAATTTATCTTTCAAAAGCTTGAAAAAAAATTATACTAACGGACTGATTGACTTTGCCATCATCATAAAGTCAGTAATCTGTTAATGATATTTTTCACTATATTTGGGTTGTGTGAGAAGATTGTTTTAACGCTGAAGCTTTTGTGTGAATAACTGTATTGACATTAATCAGTAAAACTTGAAATCTTTAGTGGACTGTTGAGAATTTAACTGCTAAAGTTGGTAAAGTTGGTTTATTGTGACAAAACTGAAAGGATATGTAGGAAAGCATACATTTTTCAGATATATTCCACACAGAACAAGGTTCACTCTGTCCACATATTTCCTCGTTCCCTCCTCTTCAGATCAACAGTTTGAAGATGGGTGTAATCAACATGTGATGAAGTGTAAGTGCTGAAAGGCTCCATTCACTGCAGAAGCACATGCTGTTTGGATCAGAGCTCAGACTAGTTTCATTTCTTATAAAGTGAAACTCAAACAGTCATCGCCAGTGAGAGGTGAAATGGCTCAGATAGGAATTCAGCTGGACCAGGAAACAATTTGCTGTTCCATATGTCTGGATCTAATGAAGTGTCCTGTGACTATTCCCTGTGGACACAGCTACTGCATGAACTGTATTAAAAGCTACTGGGATGACAATGATAAGGAGCAGATCCACAGCTGCCCTCAGTGTAGGCGGACCTTCACACCGAGGCCTCTCCTGGTGAAAAACACCGTGTTAGCAGATTTAGTGGAAGGACTGAAGACCGGACTCCATGCTGCTCCTGCTGATCACTTGTATGCTGGACCTGAAGATGTGGCCTGTGATGTCTGCACTGGGAGAAAACTGAAAGCCTGCAAGTCCTGTCTGATCTGTCTGGCCTCTTACTGTGAGAAACACCTCCAGCCTCACTATGAATCACCTACATTTGAAAAACACAAGCTAGTGGACCCCTCCACACAGCTCCAGGAGAATATCTGCTCCCGCCATGGTGAGGTGATGAAGATGTTCTGCCGTACTGATCAGCAGCGTATCTGTTATCTCTGCCCTGTGGATGAACATCAAGGCCACGACACAGTCTCAGCTGCAGCAGAGAGGACTGAGAGGCAGAGAGAGCTCGAGGTGAGTCGACAAAACATCCAGCAGAGGATCCGGGACAGAGAGAAAGATGTGAAGGTGCTTCAGCAGGAGGTGAAAGCTATCAATCACTCTGCTAATAAAATGGTGAAGGACACTGAGAAGATCTTCACAAAGCTGATCCGTACCTTCAAGAAAAGACGCTCTGATGTGAAGCAGCAGGTCAGATCCCAGCAGGAAACTGAAGTGAGTCGAGTCAAAGAGGTTCAGGAGAAGCTGGAGCAGGAGATCACCGAGCTGAAGAGGAAAGACGCTGAACTGAAGCAGCTGTCACACACTGAGGATGACAACGTGTTTCTAAACCACTACCCCTCACTGTCAGCACTCAGTGAATCCAGAGACTCATCCAGTTTCACTAACCGTCCTCTGCGCTACTTTGAGGATGTGACAGCGGCTGTGTCAGAAGTCAGCGACAAACTACAGGACGTTCTGAGTGAGAAATGGACAAACATCTCACTAAAAGTGACTAAAGTGGATGTTTTGCTGTCATATTTACAACCAGAGCCCAAGACCAGAGCTGGATTCTTACAACATTCATGTGAAATCACACTGGATCCAGACACAGCACACACACAGCTCTTACTATCTGAGGGGAACAGGAAAGAAACATTAATGAGTAAACCACTGTCTTATTCTAGGCACCCAGAGAGATTCCTGGCAAATTTCCAGGTGCTGAGTAGAGAGGGTCTGACTGGACGTTGTTACTGGGAGGTGGAGTGGAGGGGGACAGCAGTTTATGTAGCAGTCGCATATAAGAATATCAGCAGAGCAGGGAGGTTGAATGAATGTGGATTTGGATTTAATGACAAGTCTTGGGCATTAAGATGTCACAAAAGAAATTATGAATTTTGGTACAACAACATCAAAACTCCCGTCTCAGGTCCCCAGTCCTCCAGAGTAGGAGTGTACCTGGATCACAGTGCAGGTATTCTGTCCTTCTACAGCATCTCTGAAACCATGACTCTCCTCCACAGAGTCCAGACCAAGTTCACTCAGCCTCTCTATGCTGGACTTTGGATTTTAACTTTGGGAGACACTGCTGAGTTCTGTAAACTCAACAAGACAGAAATAATTTAAGGGACAGTAGGTAAATAATTTGTTCTGTTGCTTAAACTTATTTTTGCTGCTGAGAGCTGATTGTTGTGGCATTATGAGGTATTGAGGTAATTTTACGTCCTCTCATTAGTTGTTGTGTAAATCTGAGTTTCTGTAGGTGGCGCTCCTTCCTGTGTCTGTTTAGCCATGGAGACTATAATTGAATCATGATGATTTTTAAATAGCTGAACTGACATTTATCTGCATTAAAATGTAAACTTCTCTGTGCTCTAAATGTTTTTTGCACAATTCTGTTGATGTATTTTATGTTGTTGTTTCTCTTCTGCTGCATGGATCTTAAGAGAGATAGCACCTGACCTTCCTTTATCATAGATATTTTGTTCTATCCACTTTGTAATAATAATATATATTTATATGTATTTGTTTAGCAGCAAAGGAAAGCACAAATGAGGTACTACATGGTGTTATAAAACTGTAGTTATCATGATCATGATCATGGTCTTTTCTCTTACATGACTGAGATTCTGGTCAAATATTTCTGATTATGTGGATGAAGTGAATCTGTACATGAAATCATTGAATAAGAGTCATTCAACAGATTTTACTGATGAGATGTGTGAACAAACTGAAGGTTTACATAATGAATGAAACAATTTATTCATGACTGAACAAAGTTTCTTCTTCTTGTCTTTATTTCAGTTTGTCATGCAAAGCTAATAAAGAAAATGTAAAGCTGTTGAAGCTAAGGCATCTTGACAGGCTAACAAGTGAAATGTGAAAATGCACAACACTAGAGGGCGCCTTCATTCTGCTAACGAGGCATGTAGTGGATTTAAACACCTCAACTCAGTCTGTCTACAGTTTCAGTTAACAGCATGTTTTTAGGTTAATAAGATATGAGTCATAATAAAAATGCAAGGTGTAATACATCATGGTTTACTTGACTATTTGAACTTAAATCTGTGCTTAAACTACAAATCTAACATCCACAAGAAAGTGCCAGTCTGACATTCACACTACTGACTTCAAGGAGAGAAGAGAGAGATGCCCCCCCACGACCTTTTCTGACAAATCTCTCCTTGATTTCCTTTCATCTCTACTACTGTCTGCAATAAAGATTGGAAAATTCTGCAAAAATACTTTGTAGGGTTGTTGAAGTAACATTATTTACCGATGCTGTGTTTTTATCTATAGTTTTTACCTGCGTTTGTGGTGTATTTGATTGCATCACGACCCCCCGGCTGTGACCCCGGCGTCCTTTATGATACGTGTGTGAATGTATGTGTTTTTTGCGTTCTTTTGCCCTTTTGGTATGTCTGCTGTGTGCTTGGTGTGTTTTTGTTTGGCATCTGTCTTTGTGTTCTGCTTTCCCTCTCATGCTCTGGATACCGCTGGTGGGTGTGGTCGCTGGTGCTCCGGATGAGAGGCCGATTCTGTGAAAACACGGAAATACTGGCACATTCACATTGACAATGTGCACATACACACTGAAAATTATCATACATGCACCAACAACACACCAAGCACACGCACTGAAACCAGAGTCGCACAGAGTAGGATACAGGCTACTTGTCTGTGTGTGTATCTCAGTGTGTGACTGTGAAGTCATTTCAGTGCCTGTTTCAATGTAACAGGAAGTCACTGATGGAGCTAGCTAAATATCCATGGTCAAAATACATGTAGAATGTGTATAATAAGCTCAGCAAATCATTGCATATTGTAGATCATAAAGTGAAGTGTTGTAAGTTTCATGTGAATAAGAAGACAGAGATAAAGTTTATAAAACATCTGAAGGTGAGGAGCAAAAATTAAATGTGACATACAATAAATATCCCTCCCTGTAGGTTTAAGGATACTGAACTAAATATATAAATATAATAAATGATTAACTGTTCATATAATTGCTTAGATAGACAATCTCTCTGAACAAGGAATACCACTCGCACTGAAATCCATGTTTCATCATGTTAGCTATGCTTTTATTTTGAAAGTTAGGACTGGAATCTAAGGCTTCCTGTTACACTACAACAGCTTCTGGGCGCACTAAAATAATTTTACATGCACACACTCAGATACCCCTGTATTTCAGTGTATGTGCGCACATTGTCAGTGCGTGTGTGACAGTTTTCAGTGCGTGTGCGTATGTTTTTCAATGTTTTCACCCTAATCGGCCTCTCATAGGCCTCTCATACTCATACCTCCTGCCTGTTCACCTGGGCTCATCACTTCAATCAAGCACACCTGTTCCACATCCTGCAATCAACTCACTCATAAAAGCCAGACCAACCTTCCAGTAACTGTTGGATTGTTGTACCATTCAGCATAAGCACAAGTCAGCCAAACTTAGTCTTGAACGCTTAATCTTGTCTGACTTTTGAGCTACCGAATGTTAACTTGTCTTTTTCCCTGTCTCGACCAGAGAGTACCAGCCTGGACCTTGGACTCAGTTCGGCTCACCTGGACCATGAAACCCAGAGAACAGGAAACCGGACCCCAAACTCCCACGTTAATCTGAACATCTACCACCCAGCCCATATCTCTGTTTGCACCTTATAAATTCTTATAAGTTCTCCTTTCTTTGAACTGCTACTCTAGTCTGTGTTCTGACAGATTGTACTTGTTGATTTAGATGCAGCTTGACTATGCAGTGAAATTAGGGACCAAAATAAAAAAAATTTGCTTAATACCAAACAAGTAGGCCTACATTCACACTTTAGCCATTTTTCTTTTTTTTACCACCGCAAAAATTAAATATTCAAAATGTGTGTTTCCCACAGGATTTGGAGAGACTATGGGAGGTGGGTCCGAGGCCCAAGAGGGTCCGATAAAGTAAATTACATGTGCTCACTTACTTTTAATGTACACATGTAATAGGTTTTATACTTTCTGTGAATATAATCCAATTAATCTTGTTTCCATCCTGTATAGACACCTTATTTTGAAAACAAGATATCACATGTGTATCCTCGCGCTAAATTCATCAAGTCTGACCCAATTTGATAAATAACACGTGGTTCTCAACTTTGCTTCTTTCTCAGACAATAGTGATGGTAAAAGTGACTCTTTTGACAGGCTCGAATCTTCAAATCTTGTTGATTAAAATTAACAAATCTTGTCCAGGGTGCACCCCGCCTTTTGCCCGATGTCAAATGCGACCCTGTACGCAGGATAACTGGTTGACGTTGGATGGATGGATGGATGGTTATTGCGGCACTGCAGCCCTCGATGTAAAAACAGTATGTATTAACGTCAGATTTGCTGGGAATATATTGAAGTAATAAGCTTGACACACTGCATGTTTTTTAACACACTCTTTAATAATAATCGGGATAAATCCTCCGAGATCTTAAAAAAACTGCATCACAGAGAAATGAACAAAGAAATAAACACTTTATATAAACGCAGCAGTTTGGCAAGTCTGGACGCAGAATGGGCCACATCAGGTCCAGATTCTGCAGACAGAGAGAAACAAACATGAGCACATCACTGCCAGGTTGTTCACCACCCAAGAGTAAAAAAATTTACATTTAGCTGACACTTTTATCCAGAGTGACTTACAATTGCTATATATAGGTTGCATACCTCCGGAGCAACTAGAGGTTAAGTGTTATTCAAATCCAGGTCTTTCACACCAAAGGCATGTGTTTTATCCCCTGCGGCATCATCACCACCCCTGCTGATAAATAAAAAGTAAAAGTTACGATGCGTTCTCTGGCAGATCTGGATCAGCTTTAAGCTGTAAACACACCACAGGCCTAATGTCAACGCTGCTATGTGTCTGTGTTTTAATGTTTTAATGATCATGTCCCTTTGTTTTGGAGAGGAGAAGACCTCAGAGGTACTTCGGCTCCTGGTAGAACCCTGTCAGTGCTCTGAAGTGGAGCGGACCCAGAACAACTCTCATCAGCTGTTAACACTAGCAGCACTAAAGTTTTAATTTTAGGCATTTAATGCGAAATGTCTGATCCAGAGCAGGAAGTTGTTTTGTGCTCAAAATGTGTGCAGTGCAATATTGTGGGACTAATTATTTATTCAGTAAAGCATAGAAAATGGTGGACATGGCATGGGTAATCAAACATGTTTAAAACAAACAAAAAGCACTCACTTAAATGGTGGATTAAAGGGCAAACAGGAAGTACTGTTATAAACTTAATTACAACATTATACCCATGCAGGAACACAGTATTAAGAAGAATGTAAACAAAGAATGTTTAACATTAAGATAAAAACTAAAATTTATTCTGTCTATATAGAGACAGAGTATAAAAAATACAATATATAGAATATCCAACATGTCTGCCTCCATTGTTCACTCTCTCCACCTCTAGAGGGAGTCCCAGCTCTTTTAAGGACAAAACAACATGTTGCATTCAATTAGTAATGCCTGTTTTTTGGGGGGTGGGAGGGGCGGTGTTAGTTGATGGTGGCATAGAGGCTGCTGGGTTCAGCTGAGGCTCCAGCAGAAGAAGAGGAAGCTTTCACTTTCATGTAGGTCACTGCATCGTCTTCATCATCACCTCGAACCTGGAAGGAAAGAGAACAATTCACATATTAAATAAACACAAGTTAACACAACATGAGAGTTCTGAATTTGTCCTGATTTGCTGCCATCTAACAACTAAAATGTTCAATTTGCTGCAGCTTTTCTTTTTTATTAGATCATATAATATCTTGCGAGTGGAGTTCACATGTTGATCTGATGGTAGTGCTACTGTACAGGAAAGGTGAGAGGGTCACTGAAAAAAACACAGGAATTCAGCGTCTGTCATGAATCATACTCATAAATATTCACAAAACATTTCATGTCATTCTGCTCTTTAGTTTTGGACCAAAGAGACTGACAGCCTGACTGACATCAGAATACATATCATAAATTAATAACAACCTTAATAATAAAATAGAATATTCATTCACTGCCATCATCACTAGAACCAATCAGACAGCTTACCCGGCCTTTACTGTTGGATGCAGCGTTTGTGAGCTTACACATATTGTTCGTTTGATGATGTTTGTTCACTGCAAGTTCCTCTCGATTTTCCTACTGATAAATAAACTAGACTCCGTATCTTAGATTTAGGCTTAAGAAAGTATTTTGCTTCAATACATATTTAAATATTGACAGGCTTGTTGTCACACCTTCTACAGTGCTGCTAGAACATGCCCTCTTATTGAGGCTAACTTGCTCTCCGACCGCAGACGCTGTGGATTCTGCTATATTTCAGCAGAGTAGGACTGGTTACCATGGCAATGCGCGGTCATTGAGTTTATTCATCATCAAACTCTCTGCAGAATCGCATAGTATCCCTTTAATAAAGTACAATTAGAAAAAATATTGAAGCTTAATAATGTTTAATTATTTAATGTGTGTTTCATGTGTCCTTACCTGGAAACCCAAACACCAGCATCATAAATAAAGACATTATAATCCATCTGAATTCAACCATCGTGCTTCTCTCTTGGTCTCACGCTCTCAACGTGCTGCTTCTGAAAGTAATACAGCATCTACTTCCTGTAATTAGGAAGGAGTCACTTCCTCAAACTGACTTCAGTCTGTGTTTTCTCTCCTCTATTGGACATTGAATTTATGTGTGATATTAAATTTAATTCTCTCTGATTTTCTTGTGGATAACAAAGAGATGAAAAATCTTTTACTTTTATGTTTGATGCATTTCACTGACTTTCTAATCTACAGTGATTTAAAGTGAGGCTAACAGCAGACAATGTGTTGATCAGCAACAGAACAGAGGGAGTTGAATGTGTGAAGATAGTTAAGATAAATGTTTGCAATAATCCAACTTATTTTCTTTAGTGTTTATTAGAAAACAGACAGGATCCATGGTGATGTTTGACAGTCACATGAACAGACAGGTGAAGTCTCAAACTCCTCTCCCACCAGGATCTGACTCCTGATGTCCATGGTGCAATATGGTGATACTGTAGCAGCTGGTGAAGAACACAGATAAGATGATATTTTACTGGTCTGAGATCTGCTGGTTCCTCATTTTATGTCTGCAGTTATTTTTATCTGAGAACTGAAGGAGGCGTGTTTTAATGAGAATGTGGTTAACATTCTCAGCAGAGCTCTGGAGGTGTTAACCTCTAATGATGACCACCCGTGAACACCCTGATGAGAGTCTGACTGAACTGTCTTTTAATATCCTAGAGGTAGAATAAGTCCCCCAGGGCCCACTTTTGATCACATGTAGTAGGACGTCAGTTCATGCTGTTTTGAAATGGTTTGTTATAAGGACCTTTTAGCAAAACAAAATCTACAGAAATAGATGTTTCATTTGAGTCTGGATGACATCACCACGTCAGGGTTTTCATGCTCTGCACGCTAGAGATGAGACTTTGGTCCTTTAATAATGTCATATTACAGAACGTCTGGGCATTTTCTTGTGATTTTAAATGCATTTATATTTTATTTATATAAATGTTAGAGCACAGTGCAAACAGAGGAACCAAATGAAAGGTTTACTAAAAGAGCTAAGAGACAAAGTAGTGGTCAGCTGACCAAAGGCATGCTTGTAGTGTAGACTATGTGTGTGTTTGTGTGTGTGCATAGTCATTGCCACACTCTTTTTACTGGGGCACGTGCCTCTGTATTAATAAGTTCTGCTCCAGTCACATGGTGAACACCCTTGGTGTCATTTTTGGATGTGTAGTACTCTGCGGTCAAGTGAGCAACAACACTTCTGCAACTTCCATTCAAGTTAGTAATAATAACTATGCAACATCTAGTTACACCTTCAAAATAAGTTTTATGTTGGCTGATTTACACTGTCAAACATTGCAAAAAATGATTCAAAGGTGAAAGTGAATGTTTACAAGGTTGAGAGGAAATCTCATCAGCAAGAGGATGAAAAGGGATCATCATTCTGGGCACATAAAGAGAAAACAACTCAATGAGAGGGACTTTCAGGAACAGCAGTCAGGTAAACTTGTGTTCTCTCCTCTCAAAGTCTCAGCAAATAACAGTGATGTTAGGTTATTGTTCAGCTGCAGTGAACCTCTCTTCTCTGTCAGCCTTGCTAACTCAGCTGGGCAGCGCATCTCTTGATCTGTTTGTGTTTTGGTTGCCTGCCAGCCTTTGTGTCTGACCAATGTCAGAATGTAATTACGTTTGATAAAGGCCGACGGGTGTTCATAAACTGCAGCTCGGAAAAAATAAACTTGTCACGCATAAACGTGCGTCCATACATGTGTGCATTAAATAGAACTCGCTTATTCCAGCAGCAACATTAGTGGGACTAATCCAGACAACACATGGATGTGATGGTACTCCTCATAGGTGCACATCATTTTAAAACAAGAAAGTGATTATCTGTCTGTCAGCCAAGATGTAGTAACTCTGGACTAATGCAAGATGGAAAGCAATGGATTGACACAGACTATTAAAATGTTGATTAGCGGGGCAGACTGGGCCATATGGATGCATCTCTTAATAGTAAATAATAAACATCACGTCATAGTATAAATAGTATTATACATTTGAGGGAGCCAGTTTGAATGGGCCTAATGCAACTGATAGCAATACTTGCTAGATATAAATGTTATCTATAATTTACAGGGGCTATGCTAAAGTTTGTCAGTAGAGTAGATGCTGGATCATCAGCAAGTAAAAGCACTGACTCCAGCCTCAGCCAGTAGATATACTAGCACAGACCCAGTCCAGACGTCTTTAGCAAGTCCCACAGATCCACGTGAAGTACAGCCAGCCTCAGCCAGTACAGCCAGAACTGTACAACCAGCATCAGATACAAGCAGCTCACACCCGAATGGAACAGTTGCTGCTCCACCAAATGAGTGAGTGTGCAGAGGTTCATTCAAACCAACATAGGATTTTTCTAGAGGAGGTTTATTCCATTCAGGCTTATTACAGAGACATTAAAATATTAAAATTGAACCCATGCACAAAATCTGGATGAAATCCCTTTGGAAAGTGTATGAAATGCGTTAATTTGTGCTTCACCAGCTTCCCGTATTAACACTTTTCATACACTTTCAAAAATGTATGAGGGATGGGAGGGCCCGTGCCCCAGTAGAGGTTTATGTTTGGCAACGCCCCTGGGGGTTGATATGAATACGCTAAGATATATAAAGTATGTATAAGTACAAGGTTAACATTATGACATTAAATACAGAATCAACAGCTGAATGTATGATATGAACACAACGTACAGATCAGATATATACAGTACGGACAGCAGTATAAATGTGTATGGGTATGTGAGAGCATTATTTAAAGACATTAAATAAGAAATGCATGAATAATAAGTTATCTTTCCTTTAAATGAAGCTGCTGTCTTCTGAACTGACTGCAGATGAGAAACATTTCATAACTGAGAAAGTTAAAGACATTTTAGAAAACCTGATGTTAATATGAGATCAAGACTTGAGTATCTTTGTCCAGCGCAGACTGACATAGAAATAACTTGGTACAAAAACACATTTGTCACACTGATAAATAAAAACACTTTCAGTCATCCAAAATCTTAAAATGATCTCATGATTCTGTTGTTTGTCTATCTTATGTAAACAGAAGTTGTTGATCAGTGAAGTCTGACTGAGACAGAAGGCTCTCCAACATTTTCATAGTTCACCGTACCATCATCTTCATCTTCATCATTATGCTCCTGTGAAACACAACAACACATGAGAGTCATGAGAACGCCCTACATTTTCTCCTAGCTGACGGTAGATGTGTTCAAACTGAACACAGTTCACAGTTGAGTCAGCAGAACCTGAACACACATTTGATAAATCAGTTTCAAACTCACCATGTTTCCATCCATCTGTGTTTTGTTCCCTGAAAAGACAAAAATGGGTCTAGTTTAGTTTCCATAGTGTTTATTTTAACTTCTGGTTTATGAATGTTTCATCTGTGGATGCTCTCACCTTCAGTTCTTGTCCAGATGTTGACTGAAACAACAGTTATTATGAGTCCTGATAAACCCACAGACACAATGATGAACCGCAACAAATCTGAAAATAGACCTTAGAAGTGTTAAATACGTGTTTTGATGATCAGATAGTTTGTAGAGTGTTCTTGCATTTTTCTTCATCTCTAATATCTGAATCATCTGAAGTGTTTTTTCTAGCTTTAAATGTATTTCTGTTCTATTCAGTCACTACCTTTTGGTTTTGTTTGTTCATTGTTGTTTGTACCTGCTGATGTGGTTTTCTTCACTGATGTCCATGTGTTTCTTGTTTCCCATGTTGATGTAACTGATTCTGGTGATCAAAATGTAAATGTGATAATAAAACCACAACTTATAATTGTTATTATAGTTCTGCTAATTTTAAGACAACATTTATGTGCTGAGAAAATAAAATCTAAGTAAAATAAATGGAATTAAAGATCGACAAGTTCTATGTGTTTCAATAATAAAAATAACAATAACATGTAAATGGTGTATGTGATTTTTCAATTGATTTTGATAGTTTGGGTTTTAGAAATTTGAACTGATTAAAAATCTTTTGAAAAGAATTTCTACATCCTCACTTGTAAACACAGCAGTTTAAATGTTTTGTAGTGTGTGTGGAGCTCAGAGAATGGGAAAATAAACAAAAATGGTGATTAAATATATAAGAGTTTGCCAGCGTCATCAAAACATACAAGACCGCCACTGTAAACATGCATCTACACTTTATCCAAATCAATTGCATTTGTTTATAAATTATGTTCACAACTCCTAGATTAGTTTCATGTTGGATCAGTAAGCTTCTTTGTTTCTCACCTTGTTTTGTTGTTGTCACCATTGTTGTTGTTTGTGCTGCTGTCAATATTGATCTTGTTGTTGTTGCATCCCCATCTGACAGATAAAAAACCCCAACAAACTGTAAAATGAGAAAATACTTCATGTTTATAAATGATGTCATTTCAAAACTTTACATCTCAGCTGGTTTCTCACCTGAGGACTGAGGGCTGAAGGGAAACAGCTGCACTTTTTTAGTGTAACTATCAGTCACGTTACATTTAAACAACTCAGGATGCTTCGACTTCTGATTAAAGTCAGATGTTGTAAATGTCACAGTGGCTGAACAGGAATGCTGTGATCTCTTCATGTCTGTCAAATCATTCTTATTACCCTCATACAGCCACTTCACTGTGTGACTACAGTGTTCATGTATCAACACAGAGCAGGTTAACGTCACCTTATCAGCGTCCTGATGTTCAGTCACTGGTGAAGATGGAGATATTGTGAGAGAAAGACAACAAGAGTAAAGTTAATTTCATCACTGTGATCATAATTATTGTAATGTTTCAGTATATTGTTCTAACAAGACAGTTTGAGCTGAAAACATTATGATGTAAATACTCACTGTTAATAACAGACAGATGAACCGCAGAGCCTTCACCTTGTTGTTGTCCTGATCTGAACTGTCTGCAGGTGTAAAGACCAACATCCTCGACTGTGACCTTCTTTATAACCAGAGAACAGTTCTCTGTAACACTCAGTCTGTCTGATTTAGCTTTGGCATCGTTGAGAATCTGCCCTTGTTCAAACAGCGT